TGGTGCTGGGGGATTGAACTGCGGTCCCTGTGCTTTGCTAAGCTTGTTCTAAGTAGGTGCTTTAGACCACTGAGCCATCTCACCAGCCCCAAACCTTACGCTTTGGAAGCACCTGATGAACATTCCTTGGCCTTTGTTGTCCACCTCCAGAGCATTAATGGGGTGTGTTCCCTAATACAGAAGACCACGGCAAGACTTCACCTGAAAAAGCTGTTCAGTGGTGTCTTTGTTAAGTCACCCCCAAACTCTCAAAATGCTGTGCATGGGGCCGGGGAGATGGCTCAGTAGAATAAGTGCTTCCCTGGCAAGCACAAGGGTCTGAATTCATTCCCCTGTTCTGGAAAAAAACAAAAAAAATGCTGTGATAGTGGAGCCTTATGTTACCTGGGGCTTTCCAAATCTGATGTCTGTCCAGGAACTCATTTTGAAATGTGTACAGGGCAAGGTCAAGAATAAGACCTTCCCGCTGATGGGCAACACTGTGATTGAGGGGCACCTGGGCAAGTTTGGTGTCATTTGCCTGGAAGACTTCATTAACAAAATCACCTTCCCAGGGCTCATTTCCAGGAGATTGCCTGCTTCTTGCACCCTTTCCACCTGTCTGTGGCCTGGCACACTACGAAGAGCAGGGTGGGCTTCCTCAAGGAGATGGGCTCACCTGGTTATCGGGGTGAGCGCATCAACCAGCTCATCTGCCAGTTGAGCTAGTTCCAGAGACTGGAAGGAAGCATAAGGGAATCGGCATGGCAGGCACCTCAGCACCGCCCAGTTTCAAGGAAGAGTTCCATTGTTTCCCATCATGCCACGCCTGAAATCAACACTTGCTGTGGAGGAAGAGGTCCTGTTTTCCTGCATCTTCTGTCCTGTGGCTCACTGTTGGTGAGTGAATAACCTAAGGAGGGTAAGAGGCTCCCTGTCCCTACGACTTGGAGCAGTGGACCCAGCCCAGTGACGTACTTGAGTCTGGAGCCCCAAGGCTTTCTTTTGAAAAGACTGACATACAGTTACAACTGTCTGGAAAACAAGTGTTCAGCTGTCTCTGTCAGGAGTCCAGGTTCCAGCTTTCAGTGACACAGCTTTGCAAGGTCTCAGAATTGCCTGGCCCAGGTAGCTTTTGTACCTTAGCTCGGAACTGACTTGGCTTCTTTTCTTTACCTCAGAATTTGGGAAGGGAGCCAGCCATAGTGGCACATGCCTGTAATCCAGACCCTGGGGAGTCTGAGGCAGGAGGATCACTGAGTTTGAGGCCAGCCTGGGCTACAAAGTGAGTTCCAGGCCTGCATGGACTGCATAGTGAGACCCTATTTCAAAAAGACATAAATAAAGTAAGAATTTGGAAAAGGAAGAACATCGTTCCTAGAAGCGAGGCATTCACTCAAGTTTGTTGGGAATTTCAGGGTGTTCCTGGAGTCTTCTCTCTTAGGACCTGTGCATTTTGTATAAAAAAGCCCTGTCAAGACCAGGTGTGGTGGCGCACACCTGTAATCCCAGCACTGGGGAGGCTGAAACAGGATCACTATGAGTCAGAGCAGAGTGAGACCCTGGACCAAATACATAAAATAAAATTTTAAAAAGGTCATATACGATTGGGTTGCTGTTTATGTTTCTGTGTGTCAATTTCAGGTTTATGTTCTGCTTTAGTTGGTGTATAGATAAGTAGCCATGAGATGGGCTGAATAGCAGTGAGTTCACAAGGCAATAAAGATGTCTTTAAAGTTGGTAACATAGTTCTATCCAGGTTATTCGCTGATAGACATACTATCAAATATTGGTTTTATAGATGCAATGTCCATTGTTATTTACCTACGGTAATTTAAGAGCTTTTCCTTGGTTAAATGTAGAATACATATAGCTTAAAAAGTGTTCCCTACACTGTGATTTAGTTCTCATGAGTAATGCATTTGTTAAGGTGTATTTAAATTGGCTATAATTAAAAGGTTAAGCTTGCTATGTCCTAAGCAGTAAGGTTTTCTCTTAAGATATCAAGATGATCTTGGTTACATTTACAATTTTATAGGTTAAAAAGCAAAGATTCTATATTTTACTAAGACAGTTTCTTGTGTTTTTTATTGTTAGACTTTTGGTTATTTAAACAAAATTGAATTTTAAAAGTTGAAGTGTTGCTTGTAAAATTCTATAGTAATCAGCTTATGGTAGGTGAAATAAACTACTATTATCTTAGTGTGTAACATACCTTATATACATCTGAGACTTTAATTCTTTTCAATACAGTTATACTTTATAAACACATTAAATGAATATAAGTTTTACCTGGAGAGCTGGGGTGTGTGAGCCCCAGGCAAGCAGGTGCTGGGGCACATCCTGTGCTGAGGGCTGGCCTGGCTTTCTAGGGCTTATACCCCACAGAGGCCTTTAGTGGACCAGAGAGGTATGAGTAGGGGTGTGACCTGTGAAATCTGTACCCAAGAGGTATCCCTACCTGGAGTTCTCTTGCCAGATTTACTGGCCCTGGAGTAGCCTCTGCTGGCTGAGTCTTCCCCCAAAGCACAGAGTAGCCATGCCTAGGTGTCCTGTGCACTGCCCAATGGGGACAAATGAGCTCCCCACCTCCCTGTTGTTTCTCTCTCTCTTTCTCTCTGTCTCTGTCTCTGTAACTGGGGATTGAATTAAGGACTTTTGCACTGAGCTACATCCCCAGCCTTTTAGAAATTCTTTGAGGCACAACCACTAAGCCACTAAATTGTCCAATCTCGACTTATACTTGCAATCCTCCTGCCTCAGCCTCCCAGGATGCTGAGTCCATAGACATGCAACACCACACATGGCTCCAACCATTCTTAGGAACACATCCTGTGTCAGGAGCAGGGACCTCTAGAGCCAACCAGACTCCATAGCTCCCACCTACCAGTGACCTCAAATAAGTTTTTTTTTTTTTTTTTTTTTTTTTTTTTTTTTTTTGTGGTATAGGGCATTGAACTCAGGACCTTGCACTTGCTAAGCAAGTGCTTATTCTACTGAGCTATCTCCCCAGCCCTCAAATAAATTTTGTCACCTCCAAATCTCAGCTTCTTTAGGGCCAGAATAGAAACACTACTACTAGGGTTTGAATTTGTTTCATCCTTTCAGACTCATGCAGGATTTTGATCTCCAAAGAGTTACATTAATGGTCTTAAGAAGGTGGAAACTCAATCCAGTCATGGTGTTTAGAAGTGGAGCCTTTAGTGATTAGATTAGATGAGATATATAGGGTGGAAGCCCTGTGATTAAATCTCAGTGATTTCATAAGAGGCAGAGAGGTCCCACAGACAGAATACACTCACTCCTGCCGTGATGTGCGTCGCTCAGGGATTGCACACCAAAATTCCTCACATTACTCTTTGGACTTCTAGCCTCCAACACTGTGAGCTAAGTAAACCTTCCTTATCTATAAAGCAGCCTAAATCAAGTACTTTATTATAGTAACAAAAACCAAGCTAATACACCTCTCTTGCTGCATAGCCCTCCCCAAGGCTGCCTTCTCCTCCTAGCAGAAGTTACCCAAGTGTGCACATAGAGGAACTGGCTAATGTTTGACCATGGAAGTGCCCGAGGCAAGAGTTCTAATGGAACACTTCACATCAATAATCATTTAAAAATGGTAAGCAAACCTGTTATATTGAAACAAAAAATTGTTAAATGGATCACTCAAACTTTTATGACAAGCTAGTAACTCAAGCTCAAAACCAGAGTTCTCCAGTTTATGCTCAAGTGTGTAGTAAGGCCAATTTTCTCTCTCCAACCACAGGGGCCACCTGCTTCCTTTCTCCACTTGCTACCCCCTGCTCTGCCTGTATCTCAGGGCCTCCCTCCACCTTCTGGGTTCTCCATCTGCCAACACAGGCTCCACGGTCAGGGGATACCCTGGCATGCTGTGACCAGGAAGGGCCCATAAAGCTCCTGCAGGCAAGCTGGGGCCCTTTGGGCTGGAAACTCCAGGGCTGGTTTGGGCTTCTTTTCTGACTGTCCCTGTCCAGTCCTGGATGACTTCCCTGAGGCCCTGTGGATCTTTCCCTAGGACCCCTTCTGCCCAGTACTTGTCCCCTCTAGGGGTCAACACTGCTGGTCATCACTGTGGAAGAGAGGTCAGGCACGGAGGGTTGGCTCCTCTCTGCGATGGGTGTTCAGCAGGCTGGGTAGTCACACAGTCAACCCTTACTTCTTCATAGTGTGATTTGGAAGATTTACTGTCTCTCCGCACCTCATTTTATTATCTGAAGGAACCTCACAGCAACCCCTGGTTTTCAGGACCATTGCAATGACTGCATGAGTTGCTATGTTCATTTAGCCAATCTCTGAGTGTCTGCCATGCCCCAGGTTGTGTTGGGCGCTGGGGGTGAAGTAATGAATGAAAAGAAGGCTGAAGTTGGGGATCTGCCTTCCTTCTTGGGGAGGAATCCATGTATAAGATGGTAGGAAAAAAAAAAAAAAAGATGGTAGGTTCCAGGAAGGTTAAAGCAAGGGAGGGAAAAGCGATGTCAGGGCACTGTTCAATGTGGCGCTCAGGAAGACGCTTCTGCCGAGGGCATAACTGGGCTGGGACTCGAAGGGGGCGAGAAACAGCAAGTGCAAGGGCCCTGAGGAGAGAGCCCACCTAGATTCAGCTTCTCTGCCTCCCCCCAGGTCCCTGCCCCTGCTGCCCTTACAAAAGGCCACTGCTGGGCCAGGAACCACTGAAGCAAGGAAAGTGCTACTGGAGGGAAGGCCCAGTGTCTCCAGGTGCCCAGCCTGGCAGCAGGCATACCATCAGGACACCTGGGGCTAGGAGGGGGTCGGGAGGAGCAAGGTCATACAGAGGCACAGGGTTGCTGGCATCCTCCCCCACTCCAGTCTGGGGACAGCGACTTGGTGTCCCTGTTCATCACTGCAGTAAACCTCAGTGTCATCCTCTGCCAGGCCAAGGTAGATGGCTCCTCCCCGGGATCTAGTAAGCTATGGAACTGGAGAGGTCAGGCTGGGGTGGGGAAGCAGGGAGAGCCAGGGTCACTCAGAAGAGACACTTCAGAGGCAAAGGCAGCTTTACATGTGAGGAGGTGGGGGCCTGGCAAACTGGGAGGGGTGCTGAGGAGGGAGGGGGAAATCCTGAAAGGGAAGGGGGCTCCGTGCAGGGGAGGAGAGACAAACACAAGGCACTCAATATCCGGGACTGGGTCCAGTCTTCTCTACACACACCCACACACCCACACACACATGCGTGTGTGCACGCACACACAGGCACAGAGAGTAAACACAAAGATGCATGCATGCACAGATGTGTGAACACACGGTGGCAAACAATGCACACACATACATATGTACACGTGTGTACACACATGCACACACATACACATGCACACACATACACATGCACACACACAGACCTCTAAGAAGATCCGGTCAGGAAAGCCACATTCAGCGAGGCATTTTGGTCTCTAGGTTCTCCAAGTCCTATCTCTGTGTGGCAAGCTGGGTGGTAGGTAGGAAGGTGGGGGTCTGCACACCTGCATACATACATATGTGTGATATGTGCCTGTATGTATACGTCCTGAGGACCAGTGGGCTGCAGACCTGGTTCTGCACCAAGAACTCCCCTTTGCCTACCAAGTCCCTTCCTTCTGAGTCTCTGTGTTCATCTGTAAAGTGGGCTTTAAACTAGGTTGGTGCACAGTTGTGATCCCAGCACGCAGGGAGGCTGAGGTAGGAGGATCGCTAATTCAAGTCCAGCCCTGGTAACTTTAGTGACTTATTGAGACCAACTCTCAAAACAATGAATTGTTAAAAGGCTGGGGATGGAGCTCTGTGTGAAGCCCTGAATTTAATCCCCAGTCTTGCAAAAAAGAAAGTGGAGAGACAGAGTCCCTGCCTCCTAGAGCACAGCTACCGGCTCAGCAACCCCTGCAGGGCCACCTCAGGGAGAATGAAACCCACCTCTGCCTTGTTCTCTTCTGACCTCACTCGGCCTTGCTCTGGCAGGCCTGGGAACGAGGAAGAGCTGGCCCTGTTGCCTAAGCTGCAACCTGACCCCAGCAGCCCTTGGTTCCCAGGAAAGCTGAGCCTCTCCAGGTGCAGGAGCTCCCAGCTGCTCTTGGGGCGGGAAAGCCACCGGCAGGCCAAGAGGCCCACTTCTTCCTTCAGTACCTGGATGGCACAGCAGAGCTGGAGGTTGGACTTTGGGCAGACAGGTGCTCCCTGAGCAAAGAGAATGGGGACGGGGTTGGCTGATCCGCTGACCCCCCCCCCACACCAGGTCTACACCCCAGTGGCTGCAGACATCTGGGTGGAGGCTGAGGCAGGGTGGGCTTCACTATGGGGGTTTGCAGGCTGAAGCTCATGAAAGCCTGCCACCTCTGCCAACCACACTCTCCTGGCATGGCCCTGGGTGCCTCTGGCTGCCCTGACCACAGAGGGCTCTCTCCACTACAGCAATGATTTCCAATGATCACGTGCTACTTTGCAGTCATCTACCTACTCTGGTGTTAAACAGTGTCCCTGGTTGCTACACACACACACACACACACACACACACACACACACACACACTTACTTATTCCTTCTGTGTGCCCCAGGCTTCTCCCAGGAAGCTGGACTGCCGGGGACAGGGCGACATGTCAGTCCCACCCCCTAGGAGGTACTGATCCATCCTCTGCTCCCTTGGTCTCAGTCACAGGTAAGGGCAAAGGGTACAGATGAGCTGGTGGGACACTCATAGTTTAGGCCACTTCCAGAATGGGAGGGACATAAGCTCATGTGCTGTGCCCAGCATCCACAGCAAGATAGCAGAGTTTTCACCCAGGCAGGACCCTAGGGAACTCAGGGCTGGACACAACCTTGCCTCTGTGCCCACTTCCTCCTGGGGGAGTCCTGTGGACACTGGGCTCTGTCTTTGGCCTGGCCCCGCCTCTGATGGCAGGAACCTTTGTGGGCACCTTGAGTTTTGGGAGGTAGCAGAGGATGGACTGCACCTGGGTCTGGAGGACGAAGAACAAACAGGAGGCGTGAGGGCCTCGCCAGCCACAGGAATGCCCCTGGTTGGGTGTGGGGTAGAGGAGCAGCCTGACACAGGACGGGACAGGTGCTTTGGAGAGGCCTGCCTTGTTGTAGGCAGCTGAATTAGATACAGATATTACAGGCGGTCAGACAGAGCCAGGCCCTCAAGGAGACAGCACGGAAGACAACATACCTTGCAACTGTGAGTGAAGACGGCTGCTCACGCTGTGGGCCAGACCTAGAGACCAAAGATCGAACAAATGCTGACCTCCCTAAAGACAGGCATCCGGATTGATCATCACCCTGAGGAAGCCGGGAGGAGTCGCTAATGTGACTGCCACCGGCTACCAGCTAAACTCCTGTTCTTTAGTCATGCCTGTTT